TCATTGGACCATAACAAATTATTATAGAAAGTTTCGTTTTGACTGATTGAAATTTATAATGACCCGATCAAATTCACACCCTAAACTGGATCGTAACCAACACGTACCGTAATAATTTCTTTCTTGTAACTTGGTTAAACTTTCACGAAAGTTTCATTCAGACCAGTTCATTCATTTTTGAAATATCTGGTCTGGGACGTTTTGCTTTATATGGTCTTTACATCCACATTCTAAGCGGGATCGTCACCAAAATTGAATCACTTCTTCATTGGATCATGGCAAACTATTATAGAAAGTTTCGTTTTGACCCATTGATTAAGTTTTTGAGATATTTATGTCTGGGACGCCAGAAATTTAAACAACCCTCAAATTTTCACCTTAAACTGGATAGTCACCAACACATAACAATATCATTCTTGTAACTTGGTTAAACTTTCCCAAAAGTTACATTCAGAGATCAGTTGACCAGTTTTTGAAATATCTGGTGTAGAATGTTTTCCTTATAAGAGGCACATCCTTGAACAAGAACAATGGCTTTACCAGCCAATAATAATAATAATAATAGTAATAATAATAATAATAATAATAATAATAATAATAATAATAATAATAATAATGATGATGATAATAATAATAATAATAATAATAATAATAATAATAATAAATAATAACAAAAACAAAGGACAAAAAAATCAACGATTGTTCGTAAAAGTGAAAGTTAATGGTACAAAAACAATCACTAAATATAGATAAAAAGGAAAAAGAAACCGTCAGAGGCATTACCACAATAAATAATAATACGCCCCTAGTTTTTGGAATACATTTTGAAATAAGACAACGTTCCAATGAAACTCCGCGAATTCAAAGAACTCAATGATGTTGATTAGGTTTTCATTGGCCAGGTATCATTTCACATCTAGGCACACCTACACATACGCGCAGCTTAATGCATACGCGCAACTACTTTATAATATCACTATAGCAACTGATGGCCTCTACAACTGGATTAATATTAAATTTCTAATGAATACCTAACGTGATTGACTTATAAAGTAATTAGTAGAGCTTACATCGTACACTACCTGAACATTATTGTACTTACTTAGGTTAGATTTAATGCATTCAAAAATTTCTTCAGGCCTTGCAGGCCCTCAGGAATTTTTTTCAAGCATTAAATCTAACCTTCGTACAATAATTTTCCTGTAGTGTACTATGCGGAGCTCTACTAATTGCTTATTATAATTTATCTACAGTATATTATAATTACGCTTATTTCAAAGTCTATAGGCATAATGGAAAACCGAGGCACTCAAAAAACCTCTATGGTTCAAAACCTACCGGTCTGAAAAATTTAACAACCTAGACTAACGTAGTCTCCATCTCACGAAGTGAATATATAATGCAATCAGCTTTATTGAGGAAAAAATAATGAAGTTTACCATCGTTTTTCACGGGATCTTAGCTGTTCCGATCACATGGCACTGTTTGCGTACGTTGAGTTTGTGGTTTTATGTGGAACGCTATAAGAGCAATATTAAACGTACGTACTTTCGCATCCGGTTTTATATGGAACGCCAAAAGGGCAACTTTCAAAAACAGTTTACTTTGCACACTCGGTTATCAGGTACAGTTGGTTAAAAAAACAACCGATTTTCGTCAGGCACAGTCGGGATTTTGTTGCTCAATGAACTTTGCTTTAGCTGCCCCTCATCAATGCCCTATCATTTCAGTTTAGTGGTTTCTAAAAACTGTTACAATATGAAACTGCTATTAATACCTGATCTCAACGCTAATTTTTTTAATCCATGAAGTATGCTTTAAAAATGATAAAACATGACCTTACCATTGCATTTCTGATATTATGTAAAGAAAATAACTGAGCGAGATAACATGCAACATGCAACCTATCGTCCTTTAATGGTCACAATGTTCAGTTTATCAAAACTAATCGTGACGTTCACATACTAGAGTGTAAGCGAGGGAAGCGAGCCCACTCTCTAGTAATTATTCATTTATGCTTCACACATTGACTTTTGGAATTATCTTTTTATGGTATTTCTAAGAGATCCATGCGTCGCCTTCAACTGTTGCAGAATACATCTGCAGGAGTATTGCAGGAACGAGGACGTTTAAGTACATCACACCGATTTTACCTTCTTTGGCTACATGTTTGTTTCAGGAGCATCTTCACGATTTTACTCATTACTTTCAAGACACTGAAAGATGGACGTCCAAAGTATCTCTGTAAACTACTGGTGTGGTATCAGCTATCACGTACACTCTCAGGCCCGTAGCCAGGTCATTTCAAGGGGGGGGGGGGTTCTCTG